ATAAAATACCTAGGAATAAACCTAACCAAAGATGTAAAAGATCTGTATGCTAAAAACTATTTAAAAACCTATGAAGGAAATTGAAGAAGACACAAAGAAATGGAAAAACATTCCATGCTCATGGATCGGAATAATAAATATTGTTAAAATCTCAATACTACCCAAAGCAATCTACCTAATCAAAATTGCACCAGCATTCTTCTCAAAGCTAGAACAAATAATCCTAAAATTTGTATAGAACCACAAAAGACCCCAAATAGCCAAAGTAATATTGAAGAAGAAAACCAAAACGGGAGGCATCACAATCCCAGTCTTTAGCCTCTACTACAAAGCTGCAATCCTCAAGACAGTATGGTACTGGCACAAAAACAGACACATAGACTGGAATACACCAGAATTGGACCAACAAATGTACGGCCAACTAATCTTTGACAAAGCGGGAAAGAGTATCCAATGCAAAAAAGACAGCCTCTTTAACAGAGGGTGCTGGGAGAACTGAACAGCAACATGCAGAAGAATGAAACTAGACCACCTTCTTACACCATACACAAAAATAAACTCAAAATGGATGAAGGACCTGCATATGAGACAGGAAACCATCAAAACACTAGAGGAGAAAGCAGGAAACAACCTCCTTGACCTCAACCACAGCAATTTCTTACTCGACACATCTCCAAAGGCAAGGAAATCAAGAGCAAAAATGTACTATTGGGACCTCATCAAGATAAAAAGCTTCTGCACGGCAAAGGAAACAATCAACAAAACTAATAGGCAACCAACAGAATGGGAAAAGATAGCTGCAAATGACATATCAGATAAAGGGCTAGTATCCAAAGTCTATAAAGAACTTACCAAACTCCACACCCGAAAAACAAATAATCCAGTGAAGCAATGGGCAGAAGACATGAACAGAAACTTTTCTAAAGAAGACATCCAGATGGCCAACAGACAATGAAACGATGCTCAATGTCACTCATCACAGGGAAATACACATCAAAACCACACTGAGATACCACCTCACACCAGAGTGGCTAAAATGAACACATCAGGAGACTCTAGATGCTGATGAGGATGTGGAGAAAAGGGCACCTTCCTACATTGTTCATGGGAATGTAAACTGGTGCAGCTCCCCTGGAAAACAGTGTGGCGTTTCCTCAAAAAATTAGCAATAGAACTCCTCTATGACCCAGCAATAGCACTGCTAGGAATTTTACCCAAGGAAGACAGGAGTGCTGATGCATAGGAGCACATGTACCCCAATGTTCATAGTAGCACTCTCAACAATAGCCAAATCATGGAAAGAGCCTAAGTGTCCATCAACTGATGAATGGATCAAGAAGATGTGGTTTATCTATACAATGGAATACTACATGGCAATGAGAAAGAATGAAATCTGGACATTTATAGAAACATGGATGGAGGTGGAAGGTATTATGCTAAGTGAAATAAGTCAGGCAGAGAAAGACTGATACCATATGTTTTCACTCATATGTGGATCTTGAGAAACTTAACAGAAGACCATAGGGGAGGGGAAGGGGAAAAAAAGTTACAGAGAGGGATGGAGGCAAACCATAAGAGACTCTTAAAGACTGAGAACAAACTAAGGATTGATGGGGGGAGGGGCAGGTCAGGGAGAATGGAAAGTGGGTTGATGGGCACTGAGGAGGGCACTTGTTGGGATGAACACTGGGTGTTGTATGGAAGCCAATATGGCAATAAATTATATTAAAAAATAAAAATAGGGGCGCCCGGGTGGCGTAGTTGGTTAAGCGTCCGACTTTCGCTCGGGTCATGATCTCGCGGTTCGTGGGTTCGAGCCCCGCGTCGGGCTCTGTGCTGACTGCCAGCTCAGAGCCTGGAGGCTGTTTCAGTCTGTGACTCCCTCTCTCTCTGACCCTCCCCTGCTCACGCTGTCTCTCTCTCTGTCTCTCCTAGAAATAAATAAAACATTTAAAAAAAAAATAAAAAAAAAAAATAAAAATAAATTAAAAAAATAAAAGATAAACAAAAAGTATATAAAAGCAAATAAAAATAAATTAAAAAATAAAAGAAAAATTTTAAAAAGCCTATCAGAGGTTAGGTAGGTGGGGGATGGATGAAATGAATTAAGGGGATTAAGAGTATACTTATTATGAAGAGCACTGAGTATTGATATACAGAATTATTGAATCACTGTATATAACAATGTATGTTAATTATACTGGAATTAAAATTAAAAAATTAATACACCAAAGAAATCTATTTCTCCCACCCAATAATATATGCTGATGATTGAAAGCATTTAATCCTGTTGGCTGAACATGTGACAAATCCCTTATCACCATCTCATCTTCCTCTCAATCAGTTAATTCATTCAGCACATATTTATGGGGTGTCCTATCTGAACTAAATTGTTTATGCTATGTGAATACAAAAAGAAATGTTCCTCCCATCCTCCAGAGAGTTATGGTTGAGCAGGAGGGCTCTGTGGTAATGTGGCTGACCCTGAAGCTAGACTGCCAAGATTCAAACCCCTTACTCCCATGTTCTAGCTCAGTGACCTTGGGTAAATTACTTAAACTGTCTGTGCCTTAATTTCCTCACCTATAAAATGAGATTAATAACACTATCTCATGATTATTGTGAGGATTAAATGAGTTAATATACAAGGGGTTTATAACACTGTCTACTACACAGTATTATCTAAGTCTACACTCTCCAATATGGTAGCCATTAGTCACATGTGGCTACTGGGCATTATAAATGTGGTTATTTCAAATTGAGATGTTCTGAAAGTGTAAAATACATATCTAATTTCTCTAGGTGATTCCAATCTCACCCAATTTGATTGCTATTGTTAAGGGAATGCAGAGGAATTGGTTACTGGTTTTGTTAGGAGACCATGTCCTCCACCATCCACACAAGTTAAGGAGAAGAGGTAGGGCAGGAGAGGCCATGCAGGAAATGGCCCAGGCATTTAGTAAGTTTGAAACACAAATAGTCAGGTAGCCTACAGCAATGCTCCATTCCACACTGCTTGGCAACTTCAGTAGCTGCTTTTTTCTGGCAACAAGCCTTCTTGCCCTACTGGGTCTGAAGTTTTCTTTACCTTTTTAATCTAAAGTGAGCCTTGAACAAAGGGAATCTAAACTCTCTGCCCTAGGTGAAATTAATTTGCATTTGTAAAGCACAACCGGAAAAGGTGTGTTTGTTGTTTCCTGGGTCTTGCTCACCACCAGGTTGATGTGAGCTGACTTGGCAGCCGAGGTTCAGAAACAGTGCAGGAGAGCAGCTGCAACAGATCAGGAGTTAGCCCATGACAAGCGGGTCCACTTCTAAATAGAGCCACTTTTTGAGAACATAATAAGCCAGGGGAGGATTAGGAGTAGCCATAGAGATCTTTTTCCATTAAGAAACAATTCTACACTAACTCCATGATTTTGCACTTTGGATTTATGGTCTTTTTTTCTCTTGGGCACTTACCAAATAAACGCCTTTCATTTAATGAAGTCTAAATTCTGCCCTTGGTCTTCAGTGGGGCTACACAGAGGGACATGAGTCCAGAGAAGTCCATGCATTGTGATGCAGGTATGACACATTGTGAATTAAAGGACTTAGTAAGCTCATGCTGCATTACTTTTCCTGGAGGAGAGGAGAGCTGGGGATAAGGGGTTCCAATGGACATCATCATCATGGAGGAGGCTGCAGGGGTATAACAAGCCCATCTTTATATGGAAACCTGTCTTTGTTCTCTGCTCCCCAGGTTTCATTTTTTTTTTTCTTTTTTAAAAACAGCTTGTGTATTCATAGACCTCTCCATTCACAATGATGATATCACCTTCCCCCACTTCCCTCACTGCAAGTATGCTGCAGAAGTTTTGGGCCAGTGCAAGGTTTCCATTAAGTGATTTCCTGAAAGTGGCATTGTGTCTGTGGCTTTTACCCACCATTAGAATATGAACAATGGCTTTCACTCACCATGTTAGAATATCAACAGTGATAGCTGTCTCATGTTTACTGGCAATTATGATGATACTACTACTATTACTACTACTACCATGACAAGACGACGACGACTACTACTACTACTACTACTACTACTAGAAGTGATAGCACTAACAGTGGTGGTAGCAGTAGTAATGGTCAAAAAGGTATCATTTATTTGATCCTACTGTTTCAAGGTCCATGTTATATACTTTACCACTATGCCAGATAGTAGTTTTCAAACAAGACTGCCTTAAAATATCTCATCCCACGGGTTCTTCCTATAATGTGATGTTGACATTCCTTGAGATAGGAGGTCTACGTTCCCTCCCCTTCTATCTGGGCAAACCTGTAACTATGGCAGAAATGACGCTACGAGTTCCAAGTTCTACTATTAATGATGGAGCATAACGCAAGCTGGGGGCAAAGCACAAGCTAACAACCTTCCCATGGCCCCAGATAAGTGTGACATCTCTCACGTACTCTTGAGTGTCCAAGAACAAAGGAAAGGAAAAAAACCAATGGTTAACTGATAGAGATCACAGTTGTGCAGGACATGAATCTTCATCAGTTTACAAATGTCTTAGTAAATTATAAGAAAACAGCAATCTTATCAAAAGCCTAATCTCTAGAAACCCATACTCAGTTCCTTGGAGCCCTAACAGTACCACACTGTTACACACTGTGACAAAGTTCCTTATAATCTGCAGCCCACAGACAAATACTTGAGATAGGCAGAGTAAAACATTCTAGGAATTCCCTACTGTCTTAATATTAATGCTTTGCTAGAGGAAAAAAACCCACCTTAACTTGTTAATAGCTAGGCCCCCAGTATCTTATGAATCCTCTTTAGCATGTGAAAATCCTTCTGGAGGCCTCCCTTTTGCCTTTACCTTGCCCAACTCCACGGTATATAATCAGTCACTCCTCACAACCCCTGTGCAGCTCTTTCTGCCTAAGGGTCCTGTCCTATGCTTTAATAAAATCACCTTTTTCCACCTAAGACATCTCAAGAATTCTTTCTTGGTTGTCAGCTCCAGACCCCCGCCACCACTCCAAAACCCCATCACTATGACTTCATAAAGGATGACATGCAATAAGATGACACTGCCATGTTGGATAGATCATACAGAGAGGGACATGCCTCAGGAGCCCTAGCTCTTTAAGCCCCCCGCTATAGGTGTCTCTCCAGCATCAACTGCCAAACAGGTGAGTAAACTAATCTTTAGGTGATTTCAGCCCAGTTGATACTAAGTGAAGTAGAGATAAGCTGTCCCCACTGAGTCCTGTCCTGAATGCAGGTTTGTGAACAAAATAAATGGGGTCATTGTTATAAGCTGCTAAGTTTAGGGGGAAGTTTGTTACACAGCAATAGTAAATGGAACCCCTATGTTATCTCATTAAATCCATGTAATAATCTTTCAAACTAGGTATTATTGCCATAGCTACCTTACAGATGAGGAAACATGCAAAGAGGTTTAAGTTATTTGGCTGAGATCTCACAGTTGGTATGTGGCAGTGCTGAGCTGTAAGCCCAGGTCTGTCTTGCTTTGTGTGCAGGCTCTGAGTCACGTCCTACCCAGCCTTGGTTACACATCCCATTCATGTGCTGCAGTCCCCAGTGGGTCTGCACCTCCGCCTAGACAGATCTGCTAGATTACATGTGGACATCTGTAAACAAAGACAGCCACTGGTTTTTTACTGTGTCATAAGAAAGATTTACCTTTAAAAGGTCTGCAGATAAGGCTGATTCCTATGCTCAGTGGGAAAACACACTTGGCCTTGAAGTGGGAATGAGGAAAAAAGAACACAGGCTGCCTTGAGGTTAGATTTGGGCTGCAGTATCTTATTTCACTCTGGTGGACTTTTAGATGTTGGCTTGTATGTATGTATGCATGTATGTATGTATGTATTTAACCAACCATGTTATTTCCATCAGGAGATGTGTTCTTTTTTAAAAAATGTTTTTTTTAATGTTTTATTTATTTCTGAGAGAGAGAGACAGCGTGAGCAGGGGAGGGTCAGAGAGAGGGAGGCACAGAATCTGAAACAGGCACCAGGCTCTGACTAGCTGTCAGCACAGAGCCTGATGCAGGGCTCAAACCTGCGAACCGTGAGATCATGACCTGAGCCGAAGTCAGACGCTTAACCGACTGAGCCACCTAGGTGCCCCAGGAGATGTGTTCTAAGAGTCAAATGGCTTCTTTACTGTCTTTTACTGTGGAGCTCAATTGGTTTGTAATTGGAAACAACCCATTTGGGATAATCTTTCAGGGCTGTAGCAAAGTTAGTTGTGTTGTTTACATTTTCACCAAATGTTTTACCCAAAATGACCATTGGAGCTACCCTTTGAATTAGCAAGGTCTCATCAGATACAGAGCGAATACCATCAGGGACAGCCTAAAGCATAGTATGATCCAGTGCACAGCATGTGGGAGAAAGGGGCACCAGACTCATTCATGGTAAATAGGGACCTTCAACCAGGTGGAGCAGCTCTGCTGGTTTGTAAATCAGACTCCTCAGGTAGCAAACAAAAGAACCAGTGCAGGTAGGGTCTGCTCATTTCTTTTTCTCTGGGGTTCCCCTACTATAGGGCAGAAACTTATCCTGTGTGCAGTCATACCAGAGGGCTAACTTGACTCCATCTTCTCATTCTTGAATATTCCTTCCTTTTTCATGGCTCCCTTTTGATTGATTCAGGGAGACATTTATTTCTTTCCTTTTAAAATTAACTTCATTGAGGTATAATTTATATGCAATTAAATCCACACATTTTAGGGGCACCTGGGTGGCTCGGTTGGCTAAGTGTCCAACTTTGGCTCAGGTCATGATGCCATGGTCCGTGGGTTCAAGCCCTGCGCCGGGCTCTGTGCTGACAGCTAGCTCAGAGCCTGATGCCTGTTTCAAATTCTGTGTCTCCTTCTCTCTCTGACCCTCTCCCGTCCACACTGTCTATCTCAGAAATAAATAAAAACATTAAAAAAAAATAAATCCACACATTTTAGGTGTACAGATTGAGGAGTTATGACAAATGTACAAATTTATGTAGACACCACCTCAATGAAGATAAAGGACATCTTTATCCCCTTGGAAGGTTCCGTTGTGTCCCTTTGCAGTCAGATATCCTCCTATACCTACTCCAGGCAACCAATAATCTGATTTCTATCACTATAGGTTTGTTTCTTCTATTCTTGTTTTGTTTCTTGCTGTCACTTGGCATAACATCTGTGAAACTTATTAATTTGCTTAATCAGTGGTTTGTTGCTTTCTTATGGCTAAGTAATATTGCATTACATGACTGTGCCCCAATCTGCGCTCAATCATCTAATGATAAACATTTGGGTTGTTTCCAGTTTAGGACTATTATGAATAAAGCTGCTGTGAAGCTCTGTTTACAAGTCCTTGGATGGACATATGTTCTCATTTCTCTGCGGGTCAATACCTAGGAGTAGCACTGTTGGGACATATGGTAAACATATATTTAACTTTGTTAAAAATTGTCAAACCATTTTACAAAGTGGTTTACCATTCTGCATTTTTGTTTCAAAATTTAATTATGCTGATTGACAGATTGATTGATTATTTAGGTAATAAAGTATACTGGTATGACTGAAAAGTCAAAATGCAGAAAAAGTCTCACTCCCAGCTTCAGCTCACCTGAAAGTAAGCAGTGTTACCAACTAGTTTTGGACCTTTCAAGAGATAACTGAAACATTCACAAGTAAACCCTTAACTACATTTCCTTCCCACTCTTTATACAGGTGAATGTGTACTGGACACATCTTGCTTTTCTTACTTAATAAATGTATCTTGGATATTGTTAAAGAGGCTATTTCCTAAAGTGTGTTTTGAGAAACTCTATCCCCATCAAGAGCTGTGTAAGAAAAATGTTCCCAAATAAGCTTGGGAAAATGCTGCATTCTTCAGCCAATCCTCAGAAATTCACAATTCACATTCAGGTACTAAAGGCTCTAAGGAGTCCTGTGATTGAAAAGCAAAGTTTCTTTTTTTTTTTTTTTTTTATTACAAATAGTTTATTGTCAAATTAGTTTCTACATAACACTCAGTGCTCATCCCCATAAGTGTCCTCCTCTATGCCCACCCCCCCTCACCCCCACATCCATCAGTCCTCAGTTTTTGTCAGCATTCAAGAGTCTCTCATGGTTTGCCTCTCTCCCTTTCCCCCACCATTTCCGCCCTTCTTCTCCCCCTTGTTCCTCCGTCAAGTTCCTCCTAATCCTCCTATACGTGCAAACATATGGTATTTGTCCTTCTCTGCCTGACTTATTTCGCTCAGCATAACACCCTCAAGGTCCATCCATGTTGCTACACATGGCCAGATTTCATTGTTTCTCATTGCCATGTAGTATTCCATGGTATAGATAAACCACATCTTCTTGATCCATTCATCTGTTGATGGACACTTAGGCTCTTTCCATGTTTTAGCTATTGTGGAGAGTGCTGCTATGAACATTGGGGTACATGTGCTCCTATGCCTCAGCATTTCTGTATCCCTTGGGTAAATTCCTAGCAGTGCTATTGCTGGGTCATAAGGGAGTTCTATTGTTAGTTTCCTGAGGAACCTCCACACTGTTTTCCAGAGGGGCTGTACCAGTTTACATTCCCACCAACAGTGCAGGAGGGTGCCCGTTTCTCCACATCCTCGCCAGCATCTAGAGTTCTCTGATTTGCTCATTTTAGCCACTCTGACTGGCGTGAGGTGGTATCTCAGTGTGGTTTTGATTTGTATTTCCCTGATGAGGAGGGATGCTGAGCATCGTTTCATGTGTCTGTTGGCCATCTGGATGTCCTCTTTGGAGAAGTGTCTGTTCATGTCTTCTGCCCATTTCTTCACTGGGTTGTTTGTTTTTCGGGCGTGGAGTTTGGTGAGTTCCTTATAGATTCTGGATATTAACCCTTTATCTGATATGTCATTTGCAACTATCTTTTCCCATTCCGTTGGTTGCCTATTAATTTTCTGGGTTGTTTCCTTGGCTGTGCAGAAGCTTTTAATCTTGATGAGGTCCCAACAGTTTATTTTTGCTCTTGATTCCCTTGCTTTTGGGGATGTGTCAAGTAAGAAGTTGCTGCGGTGGAAGTCAAGGAGGTTGTTTCCTTGAAAAGCAAAGTTTCTAAAAATATTTGACCTGAGAATCGTTTTCTTTCTAGCAACATCTGTTGAACATTTTGCACAACTAGAATTCTGCAGAATACTCTTGGGGAAGCACATTATCTAGACACACTAGTAAACATTTTAGGCTTTGTGGATATTGTGTCTGTTGAGATTATTCAATTCTGTCACTGTAGTGTGAAGGCAGACATAGGCAAGATATAAATGAATGGGTGTGGTTGTGACTCAATAAAACTTTATTTACAAAACAGGCAGCAGGCTATAGTTTGCAACTCCTGATCTAGGATTTGAGATGGAAAAAGACTGGCAATTTTAAGTTTTTAAAGTGTTTTGTCAAGGCTTGCTGTTTGTGCTGCTTTCTCCCTACAGGCCCCATTCCCTTCCCCACCCCCAATTAATCTGCCATCTCAAGGTTTAGGACAGGAATGTAGGGCAGGAGGGGACAAAGGCAAAGGAAGAACATGGGCGTGGGGACAGAAGAAAAGGTGGGAGGGATTGTGGAGAAGGTGTCGTGGAGCAGAGGTTAAAGAAAATAAACACTGCTCAGGGCTAAGTCAATAGCTGTCTGAAATGAAAGTTCCTCCTATCTGGTTCTCCTCTCTGTTTTTGCCTCTTCTTCCCCTCTTGTCCCCTCTAAGCCCAAGTGTCCACATGGAACATTGGTAAAAGGGCATCCATGCTTCACACACTCATGGTCATTTGATTAAATAAATATCCAGTGACTAAATGGAGGCTGTTGGATTCTGGGCTTTAGCATTTCCATCTCTAAGACCATGAAATCTTTGTTGTTCACATCAAAACCATCTGAGGGTGCATCAGCTTGTGGCCAGACATGTAATTCTGGTAGTAAATTTTGTCAGTCTTCCATTGCTAACAATTGGGCAATAGATATAATAGTTATCTAAGGAAATTTTAGCTCTTCTGTTTTAAGTACCAGATTCCATCAACTATAAGAAGTAAAATACTGCGGGGTCACCTGGGTGGCTCAATCGGTTAAATGTCCGACTTCGGCTCAGGTCATGATCTCATGATTTGTGGGTTGGAGCCCCACGTCAGGCTCTGTGCTGACAGCCAGCTCAGAGCCTGGAGCCTGTTTCTGTCTCTCTCTGACCCTCCCCTGCTCAGGCTGTCTCTCTCTCTCTCTCTCAGAAATAAATAAAACATTAAAAAAAATTTTTTTAAAGAAGTAAAATACTGTTGTTTCATGTATAAGAAAAAATACAAACTGTGACATAATGCTTTCTTACAATTATAATTTTTATCTTATATTTAATAAAAGAGCTCCTTTAGACTTACCTATATCTTTTATCATATATTGCCTCAATTATATCATAAAGTAACTGCCAATCCTTTTGCAAGCATCTCGGCAAAAAAACACAACCTGATTTCAACTGCTATATCAGTGTTTCCTTTCTTTTGATTTCATCTAGAATTTAATCGTTGCTTTGGTTTACAGAATGGAGACCATTCATACAATCATGGACATTTCTTCCACAAATATCAAATTTCGGCTCTGCTGCCTTACTTCAATGCCCTTTGCAAATGCAACATTTTGTGTCCATGCTTTGTCACAGTGAATCTTTATGGCCTTTGTTGTATGGAACTTTTTAAACAGCAGCTGAATATACATAGTACCAGTGATGTATTGGCCTCAAATGGAGAGATGGGGAGCAGAGCTACAACTAACATTCACCTGTGCACAATGATAAGTGTCATGAGTGCTGCCTGGCTGCTGGCAGGTGTAACATACATCACGGTTTTAGGGATGTTGAAGCGAACAGAAGTGTTTTTAACAACATAAACCTCGATGAAGATGTGTGTTTAAACAAAGTCCTAATTTCAAACCTTAGGAGGTAAAGAAAAAATCCAGTGCCTTGAAGCAGGATGTTGTAGCATTTTTCTTCTTCACAACCATTTCCAAATGCTGCACTGTGATATTCCGATACTTCTGGCTGAAAACCTGAGCACTGGAAGTCACCCGGATGGTAACAAGTCCAGATACAAAATTCCTGCAGGTGCTAACTTGGTATGACCCACAAAACTGTACTTTCACACTTGTCCACCCTCCTGTGAGCTCAAAAACGATGTAAGGCTTATATGATGCATAAGAGTGTGAAGTGCTGATCATTTTAAAGTAAGAAAATCAGAATTGAACTATAGTCAGTTTTTTTAAACATGTGCTTAGCACATATGCCAAAGGAATGTGTAAAGGAAAAAGCTAATTTAGAAATTTATATCTCTGTAAAAAATGGTTTTGTGACATTTAAAGTAAGATCTGACAGGCTACTGCTACAGTTAAGGAGGCTGCCTGGCTCCATAAACCCCTTTCTGAGCTGGGCTTGCCAGGTTCTGTTCAGTGGGATCAGAAGTGCAGGGATCTAGTGCGGTGTGCATGCATGTCGCCGTGCCAGCAAAAGAACCATGCCACACTGTGCGCACTCTTCTCTTGGTCATGAATTTTGTGTCTCTCTTGCCTGAGGTTGAGACCCAGGTCTTGTCTAACCCCAAGGTCCTGTTCTTTCCATCCTCTGCCATTTCACAAATGTGCTGCTAGAATCCAATGTCAAAACCCTAATATTTCTGTTCTATACAATTCATTGTAGTAAATAGGCTTCCTGGCAAAGCTTCCCCAGAGACAGGGATGGTTGCCATGTGATTTTCTGGATGCCAGCTCATCCTTCTGTGCCTATACTAGCATGGCAGAAGTCGGTCAGATGCCTGATCAAATTTCTTGGGCGGCTCCACAGGAGAGTGAATTTCCAGATGTGTGCCCTGATACCTAACTGTGCTCCCACCACAGACATGACATGGAAGTCTGAAATGATAGAATTTGTGTATGGTGTGGGCCATTCATGCTTTCAAAATGTTTCCAGGTGGTTTACAAGAGAACAGGCACAAACATAAGTCTTGTCATATAAACACTGAGATCAGGACTTTACAGAACAGTAAAAAGAGTAAACTGAGCTGAAACAGAGGGTGGAAACCAATGCAACAGCAAGGGCCACCTGTGAAGTTACGTGCTGCTTGCCCTGCCTCCTGTGGTTTCATTGCTAAGCAACCTGTAAGGACACAAGCAAATCAATGCTTCTCCAGAATGTCAAGGAATAAAATCTAGGAGCAACCACGTGTCTATCTGGTGCTTGTGAAGGGAAGTTTGAGAAATGGGCTGTATGATTAAATTGGATGATAGGTAAGACAAAACGCTGCTCTTTTTCTGAATGGGAGAGCCTGAGCATCACAACTGAGAAGACAATGAGGTCCTTGGTGGGCTCCAAAGCTACCTCCATGTGTGTAAGAAGTGATTGTTTCCTTTTACTGCACAATCTTTATCCCAATTCAAATCTCATACCTAGTACTTTTCTGTCAATCTAGAAGCATGAAGGTAATAGAGCTGGGACAGATGCCACATGCCAAGTTAGTTAAGGTCCTAAGGTACTGAATCACAGTTGAGTAGAATGCACAGGGCAGAAGCAGACACAACAATCCTTGGCATGGGACACTGGACTTCCAGTTCCCCAGTGGACAGGATCTTAACAAGATCTGAGGTCACATCAGATTCTTGTTATGTCACTGCTCTTGTAGGCTCGGATCTCACATCTTTATTTTCAAAGAACTAATAACATATATGCTTCAGTTTAAGGAGCCCTTACAAAAAACAGGGTCTTCTAACTCTTAAGCCGAAATCAGCATCAGATTGCTCTCCTTATCTTGACCTTCATGAAGGTTGGAATGGGTGGGTGAAGGTAGCATTATTAATACCCTGGTCACCCTTGAACAACATCTTAGTCTCTTGTTTTTTAATATTCTGGAGAGAGGTTCCCCCTAAACCCGAGCATGTCATTCTGTTGTTCAAATATCTAGTTGGCTTCCATCAGTTTAAGGAGGAAGTTCAAGATGAAGATCACATAGGTGAAAAGTAAAATCACATAGGTAGTAAGTGATAGGGCTGAAACGTGAACCAAGGCTTTCTAATTTTGTTCAGAGCTATAACTCTTGCTCACACATGATGCATAGCAAACCCTATAATTTCTTAAAAAATTGTTTTTAAATGTTTATCTATTTTTGAGAGACAGAGAGAAATACAGAGTGTGAGTGGGGGAGGGGCAGAGAAAGAGGGAGACACAGAATCTGAGGTAGGCTACAGGCTCTGAGCTGTCAGCACAGGACCTGATGCGGGACTCAAACCCATGAACCATGAGATCATGAGCTGAGCTGAAGTCAGGAACTTAAATGACTGAGCCACCCAAGTGCCAGAGCACTGAAAATTTCTAAGCCAACTAAAGCTTCTATGTTCCGTGTTTTTGTTTAGTTACCTTTCTGTTAGGCTAACATAAAAATAAAATTGTAAACAAAACTCTCAAAGTAGTCACAGGATCATCCAATGATGCAATCTCAAAATTTTGGAAGAGAGGTAACATTAGCTTTTGAGAAGACACCGATTTTGTATTCTAGGGTATTTTCGTGTGCATCTAATATATAGTTCCCAAACTTGGCTTTTCACTAGAACCAATAGGATTTTTGGAACTTCGCTGATGAAGCCAAGACTCAGAAACACTGATCCAATTATAGTTGCACATTGAGTGGTTTCCATAGCCTGTCTCACTGAACGGAGCCTGAGAGGAAATGGAGGTAACACAGAGAGTGAGGTGTTTTGGATCATACAGATTTTAATTCACATCCAGGTGCTGCAGAGAGTGCTTTCAGCTGTGTCACCTGGGGCAACTTGGTCACTTTAAGACTCACCTCCTATGTCTGTAAAGTGGAGACTTAGGGTGATTTGGTGAGATGATATCTGAAAGTGTCTCACAGTGTCTGGTATAGTCACTATGGCTGCTATTATCATAATTATTATTAACCCTGAGAATGACTTCTTTCTTCTTAGAGCGTCATAGTCTCTAAGTATGCATCAGCCTTTCCAAGGATTCAGAACAAAGTAACAAGTGACAACATGGGACACAGAGAGCACATCTGGAAAGAAGTCTACCACACTAGATGTTCAGAAGCTCCTTGATTTTTTAAAACAGGCTCACAAAAGTGGGGTGAGGCCACCTGTGATATGCAATTGTAAGGAGAGTTAGGGGAATATTTCTTGGACACCATGCTTTCTTATAAGCACGCTGCGTTTGAAAGAAGGCCCTTTGGGTGATTGAAAACCAGTCCCTCCCTACCAGACACAAATGTGAATTAATTCTGAGGGTCTTATAGGAGCAAACAGTTCAGGTCATAAGCCAAGGCAGATGTGCTCTATTTCTCAGGGCTTTGAGAAAATCAGCACTGGAAGGAAAAGCCAGTCCTCTAGATGTCCAGCCTTGCAGGCAAGGGAAGTCACACATGGACCACAGTGATGCTAGTGGTTTTTCCTCCTGCCTTCTCTTCCCACCTATACTCCCAACCTTGATAAAGCCAATTGTCACAATGGCTGCTGTACAACTCTTTTTGTCTGATATGGAAAGTATCACAAAAAAGTCTTTCTGAGTCCTATTTTAGGAATATTTATCAATATTTTCCTTTATTTGTTTCATAATTTCACCTTTTACACTTAACTATGTAATAGATATGTGTGCCACTCAGATCTGTCTTCAAGACTGAGGCTCTCGCCCACCAACAGCTGGAAGTATTGGTTGCTGATGGCTTACAGTTGAATTCCTTTCCTGGAATTCCTCTCAGCTAAAGGGAGCTGTCTCACCCAAGATTACAACCCTCTGGTGTGAACCCCATATCGAACATCTGGTTGACACCAGGGTCCAAAGGCCCTTGTCTTAATTTGGGACAATTTTGAAGGGCAATTCCAGTTCTACAGCTCTTTATGGTGTGGGTTGAGCTATCTGTGTTGACCACATGTCAGCGTGACTACCCTTCTGTTCCAGCAGACTAATGACTCAATACTGAACCTCCTATATAGCCAATCTCCTTAAGGTCTGTTTCCTAGGAAACTTTGGATGCACAGTTGAATGCATTTGAAATTTATTGTCATATAATGTGTGTGGTGAATCTCTAACTTATTGTTTCTAAATAATTATCTCAATAACACTTATTAAATTATCCTCTCCCAGTTTTTGGACAGTTTTATTATATTTTAAATTCTTAAATATACTAGAAACTGTTTCTGGGCCACGTAGTATGTTTTGCTTTTCTTTTTTCTTTTTAAACTTTTTATTGTTTTATTTATGAGAGAGACACACACACACACAAAGCATGAACAGGGGAGGGTCAGAGAGAGAGGAAGACACAGAATCTGAAACAGTCTCCAGGCTCTGAGCTGGCAGTCAGCACAGAGCCCAACACGGGGCTCGAACCCACGAACCGTGAGATCATGACCTGAGCCGAAGTCGGATGCTTAACCAACTGAGCCACCGGGGTGCCCCTGTAGTATGCTTTTCTAATTTGTCTACTTTTTATACTTGTAATACATATTTTAACTAGTGTTACTTCATGAAATGTTTTGATTTTTGGCAGAGAAAGCTCCTCTTCATTACTCCTATTTTTAAAAATGTCTACCACTTTCACCTGTTCATACTTGTGCAATATTCATTTCAGGAGAATTCAGTGATTCATCACTTACATACAAAACCCAGTGCTCATACAAGTGCCCTCCTTAGTACCCATCACTCAACTAGCCCGTCTCCCACCGACCTTCCCTTTGTCAATCCATAGTTTTTTCTCTGTCATTAAGGGTCTCCTCTGGTTCATTTCTCTTTCTTGTCCTTCCCCACCCCATATGTTCATCTGTTTTGTTTCTTAAATCCCACATATAAGTGAAATCATATGGTATTTGTCTTTCTCTTACTGACTTATTTCACTTAGCATAATACATTCTAGCCCCAACCATGTCTTTGCAAATGGAAAGATTTCTGTCTTTTTGATGGCTGAGTAATATTCCAGTGTGTGTGTGTGTGTGTGTGTGTGTGTGTGTGTGTGTGTATACACGTATGTGTATATACATTTATCCACTCATCAGTCGATGGACATCTGGGCTGTCTTCATGGTTATTGTTGATAATGCTATAAACATTGGGGTGCATGTACCCCTTTGAATCTTTTAATTTTTGTACCCTTTGGGCAAATACCTAGTAATGTAATTGCTGGGTGGTAGGGTAAGTTCTATT